TTCTCTGTAGGCGATATATATTCCTGTAGACGATATTCTTTCTCTGTAGACGATATTCTCAACATTCCATCTCTGTAAGCGATATTCTCAACATTCCATCTCTGTAGGCGATATTCTCAACATTCCGTCTCTGTAGGCGATATTCTCAACATTTCTTATCTGTAGGCGATATTCTCAACATTCCATCTTTAAAGGCCATATTCTCAACATTCTTTCTCTGTAGGTGATATTATCAACATTCCATCTCTATAGGCCATATTCTCAACATTCCATCTCTGTAGGCGATATTCTTAACATTCTTTCTCTGTAGGTGATATTCTAAACATTCTTTCTCTGTATGTGATATTCCTAACATTCTTTCTCTGTAGGCCATATTCTCAACATTCCATCTCTGTAAGCGATATACTCAACATTCCATCTCTTCAGATGATATACTCAACATTCCATCTCTGTAGACGATATTCTCAACATTCCATCTCTGTAGGCGATAGTCTTAACATTCTTTCTCTGTAGGTGATATTCTTAACATTCCATCTCTGTAGGCGATATACTCAACATTCCATCTCTGTAGGCGATATTCTCAACATTCCATCTCTGTAGGCGATATTCTCAACATTCCATCTCTGTAGGCGATATTCTCAACATTCCATCTCTGTAGGCGATATTCTCAACATTTCTTCTCTGTAGGCGATATTCTTAACATTCCATCTCTGTAGGCCATATTCTCAACATTCCATCTCTGTAGGCGATATTCTCAACATTTCTTCTCTGTAGGCGAAATTCTTAACATTCCATCTCTGTAGGCCATATTCTCAACATTCTTTCTCTGTAGGCGATATTATCAACATTCCATCTCTGTAGGCGCTATTCTCAACATTTTTTTCTCTGTAGACGATATACTCAACATTCCATCTCTGTAGATGATATACTCAACATTCCATCTCTGTTGACGATATACTCAACATTCCATCTCTGTTGACGATATACTCAACATTCCATCTCTGTAGACGATATTCTCAACATTCCATCTCTGTAGGCGATATTCTTAACATTCTTTCTCTGTAGGCGATATTCTCAACATTCCATCTCTGTATGCGATATTCTCTACATTCTTTCTCTGTAGACGATATACTCAACATTCCATCTCTGTAGGCGATATTCTCAACATTCCATCTCTGTAGGCGATATTCTCAACATTTCATCACTGTAGGCGATATTCTCAACATTCCATCTCTGTAGGCGATATTCTCAACTTTCCATCTCTGTAGGCGATATTCTCAACATTCCATCTCTGTAGGCCATATTCTCAGCATTCCATCTCTGTAGGCGATATTCTCATCAATTCCTCTCTGTAGGCCAAATACTCAACATTCCATCTCTGCAGGCGATATTCTCAACACTCCTCTGTAGGCCATATACTCAACATTCCATCTCTGTAGGCGATATTCTCAACACTCCTTCTCTGTAGGCCATATACTCAACATTCCATCTCTGCAGGCGATATTCTCAACACTCCTCTGTAGGCCACATACTCAACATTCCATCACTGTAGGCGATAGACTCAACATTCCATCTCTGTAGGCGATAGTCTCAACATTCTATCTCTGTAGGCGATATTCTCAACACTCCTTCTCTTTAAGCGATATTCTCAACATTCCATCTCTGTAGGCGATAGACTCAACATTGCATCTATGTATGCGATAGTCTCAACATTCTATCTCTGTAGGCGATATTCTCAACACTCCTTCTCCGTAAGCGATATTCTCAACACTCCATCTCTGTAGGCGATAATCTCAACATTCCATCTCTTTAGGCGATAATCTCAACATTCCATCTCTGTAGGCGATAATCTCAACATTCCATCTCTGTAGGCGATAATCTCAACATTCCATCTCTGTAGGCGATATTCTCAACATTCCATCTCTGTAGGCGATAATCTCAACATTCTATCTCTGTAGGCGATATTCTCAACACTCCTTCCCCGTAAGCGATATTCTCAACACTGCTTCTCCGTAAGCGATATTCTCAACACTCCATCTCTGTAGGTGATAGTCTCAACATTCTATCTCTGTAGGCGATAATCTCAACATTCCATCTCTGTAGGCGATATTCTCAACATTCAATCTCTGTAGGCGATATTCTCAACATTTCATCTCTGTAGGCAATTTTCTTAACATTCTTTCTCTGTAGGCGATATTCTCAACATTCCATCTCTGTAGGCGATATTCTCAACATTCCATCTCTGTAGGCGATATTCTCTACATTCTTTCTCTGTAGACGATATACTCAACATTCCATCTCTGTAGGCGATATTCTCAACATTCCATCTCTGTAGGCGATATTCTCAACATTCCATCTCTGTAGGTGATATTCTTAACATTCTTTCTCTGTAGGCGATATTCTTAACATTCTTTCTCTGTAGACGATATTCTCAACATTCCATCTCTGTAGGCGATATTCTCAACATTCCATCTCTGTAGGCGATATTCTCTACATTCTTTCTCTGTAGACGATAGACTCAACATTCCATCTCTGTAGGCGATATTCTCTACATTCTTTCTCTGTAGACGATATACTCAACATTCTATCTCTGTAGGCGATATTCTCAACATTCCATCTCTGTAGGCGATAGTCTCAACATTCCATCTCTGTAGGCGATATTCTCAACATTCCATCTCTGTAAGCGATATTCTTAACATTCCATCTCTGTAGGCGATATTCTCAACATTCCATCTCTGTAGGCAATATTCTCAACATTCCATCTCTGTAGGCGCTATTCTCAACATTCCATCTCTGTAGGCGCTATTCTCAACATTCCATCTCTGTAGGCGATAGACTCAACATTCCATCTCTGTAGGCCATATACTCAACATTCAATTTCTGTAGGCGATATTCTCAACATTCCTCGATAAGCGATATCCTTAACAATATAATGAACAAGCAACCTATCCCGCAAACAATAAAAAATTGTATTTATTTCCAAACTCATGGCAGACTGATGTTGGCGATAACCACCAGACGGAAACACCTACGAGAAGCATGCAATTTGATGTTTTTTAAGTTTGCGTAACTTTTTTTAAGCTGTAAGCACGCAGATTATTTGCTTTGAATTGCTGTCTGGTTTTTTTTTTTTTTTTCAAACTTGCTGGAAAATTAAAATGAAAACTAGATGATTTTTTACAAAAACAAAAATTTGTATAAAAAGAAGATTATGACCAGGCTGCATGCCAAATGTCAACAACTGACACAGGCGGGTTACTGAGTTACAGATTTTTTTTTAAAAATTGTGCAGCACTTCTGAAACGGACTGTAGCAGTGGAAGTAATGTTAGTAGTGGAAGTAATGTTAGTAGTGGAAGTAATGTTAGTAGTGGAAGTAATGTTAGTAGTGGAAGTAATGTTAGTAGTGGAAGTAATGTTAGTAGTGGAAGTAATGTTAGTAGTGGAAGTAATGTTAGTAGTGGAAGTAATGTTAGTAGTGGAAGTAATGATAGCAGTGGAAGCAATGTTACTAGTGGAAGTCTTGTTAGCAGTGGAAGTAATGTTAGCAGTGGAAGTAATGTTAGCAGTGGAAGTAATGTTAGTAGTGGAAGTAATGTTAGTAGTGGAAGTAATGTTAGCAGTGGTAAAGTGGAAGTAAGTGTTAGCAATGTTAGCAGTGGAAGCAATGTTAGCAGTGGAAGTAATGTTAGTAGTGGAAGTAAATGGTTAGTAGCAGTGGAAGTAATGTTAGCAGTGGAAGTAATGTTAGAAATAGTGGCAGTGGAAATGTTAATGTTAGTAGTGGAAGTAATGTTAGTAGTGGAAGTAATGTTAGTAGTGGAAGTAATGTTAGTAGTGGAAGTAATGTTAGTAGTGGAAGTAATGTTAGTAGTGGAAGTAATGTTAGCAGTGGAAGTAATGTTAGCAGTGGAAGTAATGTTAGCAGTGGAAGTAATGTTAGTAGTGGAAGTAATGTTAGCAGTGGAAGTAATGTTAGCAGTGGAAGTAATGTTAGTAGTGGAAGTAATGTTAGCAGTGGAAGTAATGTTAGCAGTGGAAGCAATGTTAGCAGTGGAAGCAATGTTAGCAGTGGAAGCAATGTTAGGAGTGGAAGCAATGTTAGCAGTGGAAGCAATGTTAGCAGTGGAAGCAATGTTAGTAGTGGAATTAATGTTAGTAGTGGAAGTAATGTTAGCAGTGGAAGCAATGTTAGCAGTGGAAGCAATGTTAGTAGTGGAAGTAATGTTAGTAGTGGAAGTACAGTAAAGATAATGTAACAATTAGGTGTTCAGAAAACCGATGGCATTTTTGACAGAGGGAAAAGAAACCACTTGTAGTTTAGTTAATGTTATAGCTTGATGTTTTTATGGCTGATGTGGGTAGCTACCAGTTTTCACATTTTTACAGTTCAATTGTCATGACTACTTTTGTATGCCAAGCTGTCTTCATGCTTCGTGATGGACTAACCCTCACAGTTGACACCTCTTGGGAAATTTTGTAAGCAGGTCAACACAAAACACACACCACACACCTGACTTTACCGCGGTCTCTTGTTGACCAGACACGGACACACACACACCTGACTTTACCGTGGTCAATTGTTGACCAGACACGGAAACACACACAGTTGACTTTACCGTGGTCTCTTGTTGACCTTGTAGTTTAGTTAATGTTATAGCTTGATGTTTTTTATGGCTGATGTGGGTAAAACAACAGTTTAATTGTCATGACTACTTTTGTATGCCAAGCTGTCTTCATACACTAACCCTCACATGACACCTCTTTCACCGTGGTCAATTGTTGACCAGACACGGAAACACACACAGTTGACTTGACCGTGGTCTATTGTTGACCAGACACGGTAACTGTTGTATTAGAATCCGTTTATTTGATTGATTTGTAATCGGTCATGGTTGAGTTTGCCTGAGAGATCATGACAGCCCATCGAAGCCCCCAGCACCCACTAAAGCCTCCCTGCGCCCATGAGGGCCTAGGTCCAGGTCTCCCCATCGGGTCACTTCAGCCAACGATGGGATCTTGAGGCCTACAAGTAAAGATTACAGCACCAATATTAGGATTATTACACACACAATTCTTTATTTATTTCTTCTTCTTTCTTTCTTCCTTTCTTTGTTTATCTTTCTTTTTTTTTTCTTTCATAATAATTTTGATTCACTGATTCATTCTTTTTTTTTTTTCTGCAGCTGCATCTGCTAATACCATTCCAATTTTTTTTCAACTTGTAATAAAATATGAAAGCACAGATTGTTTTCATATGTAGATTACATGGAATGTCCATTCATGCCTTGTTTTCTACATACTACTGATGACTTAGTCATACATTTCCTGTCATTCTTAGGATGAAATTTTTCGCCCTACTCTGGCTTTGGCAGGGGCTGCAATATAGCCTGACCATAAATATGGCCTAAAGGCTGAACGCGGTTTCTGGGACCTCTCCAATGTGATCCTCACCAACATTGTGTCATCGGGTTTTTATCGCTTGTGTGATGTCCTGGTGGGGTAGGAAGTCAGTCAGTCAGTCTACTCTGAGACATCATCGTGCTCTGATGTGTTGTTGTCAAGAGTTCTTGGGAGAAACAGTTGACATTACAGCGCTCCAGTGCAGATATTACTATTGTAAGAGGATTTATAAATAAAACTGTAGCCGTATTTTTAGACTTAGCTCAAGCATATGACCACAGTTGGCGACAAGCCGTCTTGTATAAAGTCGGAGACATAAGAATTGGATTAGATCGATCAGTATATAGGTACATTACGATCTTCTTATAGGACAGGATATTCTCAGCGATCGTTTATACTGACAGATGAAATGTTTATGAGCAGGACAACGGATCCCCCAAGGTGCGGTGTTATCGCCAACACTATTCTCAATACTGGGTAATGATCTTGGCGAGATAATTGAAAACAAGTGATAAGCCTGACACAGTTTGTGGATGGTTGTTCTATATTTACATCTGATAAGTCAGTAAAGATGACAAGAAATAGATTACAAAAATAAGTGAATCCTATTACTAGTTAGACGATAAAATGGGCTTTTAAAATAACTACCGCCAAACAGGAAGCATGGTATTTACCTCTAAAAGACAACGGCGCTATGACAGTGATACTGTGACAATTAAAATCAGCGAATGTCCAATCGAAGGTTTAACGTGCACACGGTTTCTAGGAATGATTTTGGTCGAACAGCTGAACTGGGGCAACCTTTTAAGGGATTATTAAAAGCAATGGATGGTGAGCTCACCAAGCCAATCTTTACAATTTTTTTAAGCTTTGCTGAAAGAGAAACTATAATTTGGAAGCCTGTCCAGCGGAAATGAAGGTGGCAACTAAGGAAAGAACTGGTCTTTGAAGATCCTAGCTACCCCCTCCCCCATCCCCCAGCCCGAGCCGTGACTCAGAGCTAAATGTTAAACTGTTGTCGTTGA